AAAGCACCAAAGTACACAATGATTAGAACATTAAAATACAAAGAAAAATTTACAAGTATAGCAAGCCACAAATATTCCTTAAATATATGAGCAGAACATGAGCAGCATTTTTCACATTGTATAAATATGATGCTTGGCGTTATCTTGGCCCTTTGCCCAAGGCTTTTTAATGCAATGACTGATTTCTTAATAAGAGTGTCTGGATATACATAAATATAAAATCACTTATTTATGGTTTTAAAATTCTAATGCTTCTAAAAATAACGTACATCTGGAATGTGAAGAATTCTTGGAGCGAGGAAGGAACCCGTCCTGCATAGAAACCCCACAATCGCAGACAAAGAAGTAAAACTTAATTTTCCCTAATTAGATTTAGAATTCTTTTGGCTCCCAAAAATTGCAGTTTTAAATTAACCAACATCTTCTTGTCCAGTGGAGACAGCTGGACAAGAATCTTTCTGAACATGAAATGCTAACTCAACAATCAAGCTATCTACTAATCTATACTAGTTCACAGACACAAGTATGTGTATGTACATACTTAAAAACTTTCATAGGGGCCTGGTGCATAAGCCTAGTAGCCAAATCCTCATTCGGAAAGCACCGGGATCTTATACGGGCACCAGTTCCTGTCCTAGCTGCTCCACTTTCCATCCAGCTCCCTGGGAAAGCAGAGCATGGCTCAAAGCCTTGGGGTCCCATACCCACGTGGAAGACCAGAAAGAAGCTCCAGGCTTCAGATCAGCTCAGCTCCAGCTGCTGCGTCTACTTGGGGAGTGAAGTAGCAGATGGAAGATCTTTCTGTCTCTCCTTCTCTCTGCAGATCTGCCTTTCCAATACAAATAAATAAATCTTTTAAAAAAAACTTTCATTAGGATAGAAAATGAAGCTACATAATAAAACACACTTAACAGTGTAGGTTTCGTTTATAAGTTAGCTTTAAATTAAATGCACAGTATAAATGCTAACCTTCAGACACTAATGGATAGAGGAGGGGCTAGCAGGATTCTTTATGGTGTTGGAAGAGCGTGTGCACCGTCCCATCTGTTGGTTTATCCCTCGTTCCACACAGCCCAGTGCTACAGCGAGCCCTCGCCACCCGCGGCCGACTGCCCGACCGCGGACATGTTATGGGCAAGATCACACCAGACACGGTGAAGGCTTATTAAGGAGTCTCCATTGACCAAGCTTGGTGATAACAGAGCTCGCTACAAATAGCAAATCATGAGTCCATACAGCAATCCAACCAAACATAATCCCGAGAGGAACAAATGGTCATTACCCTGAAGTCCATCCATTGAGCTGAAGACCTATGTCCCAGCTTCCCCAACGATGTAAGTTATCCTAAGAGCCATGCAATGAATAACCTGGACACACTTACAAAGCTGCAGACACTCACCTTTCCCTGGCTTCTCTGCCCACGTTCCATCACTGCTAGGCCTCGCCTCTCCTGAACTCCTGACAGCACACAAACCAGAAACAACATTATTACATCCATTGTCCCATCTAAGCAGTACACAGGGACCATGCTCAGATTACCTGTCCTGGGTCAGCCAAGAGTTGAGGTGCCAGAGTAACGGCAGCACCTGGCCAGAAGGAGAGCGAGCCCCTGCTTCATGGGCCTTTACAGGGGCTTGTGAGGGGAGTGGTTACACAACAATGCAATACCGTCCCCTCTCAGTTGATAGGTGAGTCACAGGTGGGCAGGAGCGAATACCTAGGTGGTGTGGGGGAGTGGCTGAGGGCTTCCTAAGGATGGAATTAACATTCCATTGCTGTTAGGCCCCACCTTCAGGACAGAGGGCAGGGGACACTGCCATGTGGCCATTTGCCCACTGTCAATGGGTGCTGGCTATCACTGGCTGCTTCTCACAGGGTGCACAAGGCTGACCACACATGACACAGTCACAGCGTGACTTTCAAAGATGCGTGTCTTCACACAGCCTCACACCACAACGGAGCACCACTCTTCACTGTAGCTCGCTGCACCTCTCACACCAGCTTCACACGGAGAGAGCACGCTCGACGGTGAACACTGCGATCAGAAGTACGCCTCCGCGAGGATGCTCAAATCACTGTGAAACTGACAGTTCTGGGAAGCACACAGGCTTAGAGGAAGGAATATAGCAAACTAATCAATGAGGCACAATTTCAGGAGCGAGAGTTACAGTTTTGAAGTAGAGTTGATATTTTTTTTACTCTCAGTTGCAGCATTTATTAAGGTGGTGGAGACTATCCCAAATTAAAAAAAAATTAAAGGCTCAATTTATACTTGGTTCTCTATGATCCTTTTCATCTAAGAACCACCGTTTCAGTGCGACCTTGAATGATGATGGTCCCTGTACACGCCTCACACAAACTATGTCATATTTTATAAGCGGGATAGAAACTCTGTTTGTTTCAGATTTTTTCCCTTGAGTGTTCTTTATTGGTGACGAGGGCCAGCAGGTCACTATGGACGTCTGCCTCCACGAGCATGTGCCCCGAAGCCTGTGCTGGATTTTCTAGAGATCAGAGCAGCACCCCAGGGCTCGGGCCTGCGCAGACACAGCACAGGGTAACGGCCGTTACTGGACACAGTATCTACACTCCGATAAAACTTGCAGTGCTCCTGTGAGATAGCTTTTATGTTTACTCGGGATTTCCTGTTGGTTTTTATGTAAAAACAAAAGTAAAATTTAATAAGCCAAAAGAGGTGGACACCTCCAAAACAAATGCTCGCACCTATCCCTTCCTTTACAGTGCAGGGCACCCTATGCTGCAGGGCTACACCGGGTGCTCTGGGTGACACGACATGATGCTGGGCTTGCCTTCACGTATGTCAGCAGAGGCACATGTGTGAGAAGTGGGGAGACGGCGGCTGAATGTGAGCGACTGTCGAAGTCAGTAGAACTTGGACCTGCTTCTACCGGCACCCATGCTTTGTGTGGCTTGGCAATAACCAATATTTACATTTCAATAATAAAAATAAGGGAAAAATAAAGGTACTTTCACCTGTAAAACTACTATTTAACTGGATTTTTTTGGTAAGGATCTCTAGAAGATTATGTCACATGGTTAAAATGGTTAAAAGTTGGGAAGACCTTAATGTCACTTGGGAGGCGACTGGTGAAATACAGCACATGCATCGAGAAGCTAAGCCAGCAGCGGGGAGAGCGGCCGAGGGAGCACAGAGCCGGCTCCCTCAGAGTGGGGAGGAGCCACGGCCCAGTGCTCCGGCAGAGTGCTCCACCAGAGTGCTCTGGCAGAGTGCTCCACCAGAGTGCTCTGGCAGAGTGCTCCGGCAGAGTGCTCCACCAGAGTGCTCCGGCAGAGTGCTCCAGCAGAGTGCTCCATCAGAGTGCTCCACCAGAGTGCTCTGGCAGAGTGCTCCACTAGAGTGCTCCACCAGAGTGCTTTGGCACATTGCTCCGGCAGAGTGCTCCACCAGTGTGCCCAAGGCTGGTCTGCAGAGGAATTCCAAGTGCTTTTCTGCTGTTTCCTTGAAACTGTTCTGAATTACTCAAACATTTTACAGGTGGAGATATTAACTTTATAGCCAAGGGAAGCTATTTTCTATTACATCTTATGATTTTTCTCATTATGTTATTCTTTCTAGCTAATGAGAAAGTATCATACTTCTAAAACAATATGACATCTGGAACACAATTCATTTATTCCAAAAATATAAATGGCAATCTTTAAGGATGCATATCACTTTCCTCAACTACCTATGAAAATGCACTAAAATATAAAACGTCAGACTACATAAAACAGAGCATTATAACATACATAGAAACAGACAAAAATCTTTTGGTTAATTCAAATCAGGCTAAAATACTGTTAGTCATACGAAGAGACGGCATGTGGAAGAGGGAAGATCAGGTTTTCTAGTTGGTTCTTGAAGAATTTGGATTGAAAGTATCCTTTGGCCCGGCGCGGTGGCGCAAGTGGTTAAAGGTCCTCGCCTTGCACGCCCGGGATCCCATATGGGCGCTGGTTCTAATCCCGGCAGCCCCGCTTCCCTTCCAGCTCCCTGCTTGTGGCCTGGGAAAGCAGTGGAGGACGGCCCAAAGCTTTGGGAACCTGCACCCGCGTGGGAGACCCGGAAGAGGCTCCTGGCTTCGGATCGGCATAGTATCGGCCCGTTGCGCTCACTTGGGGAGTGAATCATCGGACGGAAGATCTTCCTCTCTGTCTCTCCTCTCTGTATATCCGCCTTTCCAATGAAAAAATAATAAAAATAAATCTTTTAAAAAAAAAGAAAGTATCCCAGCAGTTCTATGCAAAGTATATTTAGGGGTATTTTGGTAATACGTTTGTTCCTGGAATAGAAGAGAAGGCAAAATAGAATAACATAATTTCCAGATGCATGACTTTTTAAATTCAGTGCCACCGACCTGGCTTTATCTCACTAATTTCGAGTGTAAACGTAGTCAGCACAGAGCATGTTTGGAGGAAGGCTGAACTTAACGGTCACCCCGAGACATGATGCAGGCTTCATTGCCGAGGGCCCGGAACACGCAGTGCTGTGACAGCGTGTGCTCCCACACAGTGTGCACCCCGAGCCCCCGGGGACAGAGAGGAGGGAGCCCAGGAGGGCCTTCTGTCCACACCAGCCTCTCCAGGGCCTATGCTACACACAACAGTGCTTGCACACCTCTGTTCAGGAGGCACAGTCTCCCCTCTGCCTCCTAGTTCCTCGCTACCTTAAGGTTTCAGGGAACTTAAAAGCCACTCTCTCTCATCAAGAGTTTAGGGATCTCCCGAGGATGGCAATCCCACTTTGGAAAACACAAATCCACAGATACCTGGGAGACGTTTCTTCCTTTAATCCATGTTCCAAGCTTTAGGAATGATGAGCGATTTCCTAGGTTTGCATTTATCCACGTCACGGATCTGCACCAGAATGGAGAAGAACATTTTATTAAAAAATAGCCATATTCATGTATACCACATTTATGCTAGGATGCTTTAATTATCATGCTTCTAGATCACCTTGGGGAAAATTCTTTGAATTCTTACAAAGGGTTACAAGTGTACCATACGATGAACAGCCCCAGGTCAAAATCTACCTGGCTCCGAGCAGTGGGCTGCCCGGGATGGCTGGCACTGGGGTGACGCTTCTTGGATGAGCCGCAAGAGTGCAGACAGGACTTCCTCTTGGACCCGAGGGCTGGTCCGCCTTCCTCCTCAGTGGGATGTGCTGACTGCTGCTGCGGCAGCGGGGCATCGTCCGTTTCTGTGTCTGACTCAAAGATGTGCGGTCTCCTGGGCTTTGACGGCTCCCAGCACTGCCCCGGGACTTGCGCTGCGTGCTTGCTTGTTGAATTTTCTTTCCCACTCACTGGGAAGTGGACGGCATTTCTCGTCACACCGAAATTCTTGCGTGCTGTCTGAAACACTGCCTCACTGGGCAGCTGCTGACTCGGACTGGAACGCACCCTGCGTTTCCTGGATTCCGCAGCAGGCGAGGGCGGAGTGGCCGTCCTTAGGGGCCGCGTGCCCCTTTTTGGCAGACGTTCGGAACTCTTGTGATGCACATTTGCAGTATGTATCGGAATGCTACTATTAGATCCTTTCTTAACAGCTGGACCTAAGCTTAGTCTGTTTTCCTGAATCATGGTAGTTTTAACTGAAAACAATTTATGTTCTGTAACGATGTCCTGATTTCTTTTCGTGCTGCCAAATGCTGAGTTATTTCTATTTATCTGTGGAAACCTGTTATTGAAGATAGGCACAAATTTAGGGGTGATTTGACTCTGGGAGCCGAGGTGACGAGCCTGGACTCCTCTGCTGGGCTTCGGCGCTTCCGCGTGTCCCTGCAGAAGCTCCTTAGACGCAGGCCTCTTGGTCCCAGGGACAGACGGCCGAGCTGCGCAAGCCGAGAAGCTTGGCTTCGGCTGGCTGCTCACGGGCGCCCCCTGGTGGCCCGCTTCCCGCGAGCATGGCGGTGGTCCAGACGTGGCTTGAGTCATACAAGGCCTGAATGGATTTTTAGTGGTCAAATTGTGCGGCTTGACTTTGTTTTCCTGGAAAAAATCGAGATTAGGAAAACTTCAAAATGTATTCAATTTCATTAATGGGGAATAAGTAAAATATATTCATCAAAATAAGAATATAAAGAGTACTATACACAGAACAGGTAAAAAACAGAAATTCGCCTTTGCTGGAAACGCGTGCATTTTCCGTAGCTTGCCTTCTTTTGTAGTTTTAGATGGACATTTGTTCCACACGCTGCATCAGTCAGCCATGCCCGGAGCACGGCTCCCCGGCCTCTTGCGGGCGGCCCGCTGTGCACCGGCTCCCTCATTCCCACAGGGCTGAGCCGTCACCTCCTCCAGGCCCTTCCCTCGCTCCTCCCCGGCCCAGCCTCAGCACGCCTTTGTCACGCACACTAGCACAAGGTGACCCCTCACCTCTGGGGCAGACACCAGATTCTTGGGAGGAAAGTCGCTCAGCAATTACTCCAGCACCTGAGTAAGTGTGAACAGTGCTGCCTTGTCCGTCGGGCCTCTGGCAGGAGGTGGGATTTGACTCCAGGGCAAGAACAGCGCCCGCATTTTCTTGTACTTAACTATGTTTCTGTGGCCAGCACTGAGCCTGCACCTAGCAGCCGCTCAGCAAGCTTTCCAACATCACAGGCAGCTGAGCGTGCAGTATTTTTGAAGAAAAATCATATACATACATACAATGACATTTATACTTTATCCATTTTTAATTTTTAAAAAAAATTTCATTTACTATTTTTATTGGAAATTCAGATATACAGAGAGAGGAGGGACAGAGAGGACAGCCCAAGGCCTTGGGATCTTGCACCTGCGTGGGAGACCTAGAAGAGGCTCCTGGCTCCTGGCTTCAGACTGGCACAGCTCTGGCCGTTGCGGCCACTTGGGGAGTGAATCAACGGATGGAAGCTCTTCCTCTCTGTCTCTCCATCTCTCTGCATAAATGACTTTCCAATAAAAATAAAGGTAAACTAAATCTTTCCACAAAAGAATAAGTGACTTGTATTCAGACACAGAAATTTTCCAGAATATCTGTCCCATATCTAAACTATGCTTCATTCACAGCCCGTGCCTTCTGTCTCTCAGAGGTGGATATCTGGTGACAATAATCCCCAGGGGTGACTTTTTCACTGCCTAGCCTGTCAATATATTATTTGCCCATTCTTTCAATTGTTAAAAGAGCATAAATGACTGAAACAAGGAAAGCCCTAAGCTCATATTCAAAATTCATAAAAAGCCTACAAGAAGGAGCTGTGTAAACAGCAGATGACATAATAAATAATTCATAGAACTTAAATATACTTCAGCAGGAAACCAAAGCTTTGTGACATCATAAGCAGACATTTACACATGTGTGCTGTACTGTAGATTTCTATTATTTCTCTAAGTGTCACTAGCAGAAGCAGCTTGGTGTTGTTTTTATAAAGGATTTGTTTATCTATTTGAAAAGGAGAATGAGAAAGAGAAGGAAAGACAGCGAGCCATCTTCCACTTGCTGGTTCACTCTGCACACAGCCGTAAGCAGTGGAGGCGCAGCCTGGAGCCAGGAATCCGGCAGAGCTCAGGCCCTCCGCCACTGCCTTCCTGGGAACGCGACAGCAAGCCAGATGCAAGCACAGCATACGGGACTACAGTCTTAACAGGTGAAATCCATCTTAGCTTGGATTTTTTTGGAAAAAAAATATTGCAGTTTATTCTATCACCCAAAAATATGCCAAGAGGAGAGCTAGAAAATAGATACAGCAGAGTTCCTTATACTAATTCCTTTTATGTATCTTTGAAAATTCCCATTAATTGAAAAAAAAAACCTACTTAGGTAAGCACTCCCAGTGATACAGTTCCTGAGAATGCATGCTGACTTTTCCAGCTGAGGAGGGGCTCAAAAGGCCTGGCTGGTGGCACTCCGGCCACGACACTCAGGTCGGCCAAGGCTTCTGTCTCCTTGCTTTAGTCCATCCTGCTGCCTTCTCTCCTTCCTTTACTTCAAGGACAGACCCTATCAAATCTATCTTTGAACTGCATCTCAGAGTTGGTTCCAGACAGTCCAGTTTGTGACAAGCACCGTCAGTGTAAAACTGCCCTCTCACCACATTCTCACAACTGAGAAAACAGAGGCGTAGGAAGTCAAGCCTCGTGCTCAGTGAGCAGCACAGAATGCAGATCCAGGCAGCTGGTTCTCACGGCCCGAGTTCCCAACCACAATCTAAACTAAGAATCTAAAAACATGGGATTCTAATTCTGCGATGAATTTAACGGTGTGGCCTTAGTTAAATTACTCGAAAGCTTTAACTTCTCCTGCACACTTGAGAGGATAATTCTCTGTTCCAGGAGTCAATTCTGATAATAACACGTGATAATACACACAAAAGCATTTGGTGAAAGAATCAAGCGGCTCCAAGCTATCCGGAGCTACAGAGGTCAGCCGTGGCAGTTCAGCGCTACTTTACCTCTGTAAGACAACATTTAAGAAGCATCTTGTCATGAAGCATATCCACAAACACATGATGTGACGACCTTGCAATCTTCACTTCTCAGATCCAGACTGGACCAGCAGCTAAACGTCCACCACGTGTGGTCTGGGCACGCTGACTAGCTCTACTGTCTGTTGGCATTTGTCTCCCTAACCCTTGTAAGGAAGTGGCCTTGCTAGTGCCTCCGACAGCCAGGTTGCCGTAGTTTCTGTATCATCTTTCTCCAGCTCCTGCAGGAAGGATTGGCCGCTGACTTGAGGTTACTGAATCCATATGCTGGCTAGTATGTGGCCTAGCTTGGACAAACGCCTGGATCATCAAGGATTGTAGAGTGCCATCTGAAGGCGTGCCCTAAGGTGCAGTGTGCGTGCCGCAGAGAGCAGCTGAAATCACTGGAGTGACAGGCACAGTGACAGAGGGCCCCCCTGAGCCCAGAAAGCAGACAAGCCCATGCAGCCACGGGAGGGATCTCGGCGCTGTGCTGACAGGTTTGCAAATACAGTCGCAGTATATGTAAATCCCCCTGAAACAAAACACTCCCATTACTGAAACGGAGAGGCCCTCTTCCACGATGAAGATGTTTGTTACTTGGATGGTAGGAAGAGCTCTCCACTTGCAGGAAGCTGCACAAGACACTTTCCCAGGAAGGACTTGCAGGCAGCATGGCACTAAGCTGCACACGATGGAACTTTCTGTTTGCCGAACAAGAAAGGACTCTAAAGACACAGAGAGGGCAAAAGCAGAAGGAACATCCCCCAAAGGTGTTAGCATCAGTAAAATCAAAGCTCCAAATCCATCTCGAGTTAAGTCCTTTTTTGCTCTGACAGTCTGGCAGGCTAATCCCACCAGCCCACAGCCACTTGTACTCATTTCTTAACGATGCAGCCAGCAGTGCCCCTGCCCTCTGCAGGAGTGAGGTTCCAACGGCCCCTCCTTAGGGGGACAGGCACCCTACCTTCTACTCAGGCGAGCTCACACTTACAGCGCAGTCTCTCCAGTCTTCACGAAATCTGCTCCTTTTGGTCTCCAACTTCCCAACTCGGTTATATCCTTGATGTGGGTGTGGCATTTCAGTGAGCAACTACTACCATACTATGTCAAATGCAGCGCATACAAATGGCAGTGACAGGTGCCAGGTCCCGTACAGACAAGCAGTGTTAGGGAAACAATGCCCCACGCGTTATCAGAGATGTAACACAGGTGCAGGGCAGGCCGCGAGAACAGAGAATCAAGTCTCTTACCTGCAAGCGAACCTTGCTCAGTTCCTGTGTGGGGTAGCACGGCTTACTTGTCATCTTTATGGGAAATCCACATAGATGGGGCAGTGTAGATTTTAAATCCGAAAGAAAGCTTTTCGCCACATTTTCCAAGTCTACCCTTGGGAAGAACTGTATGGGCTGGCTTCTGATGCAACTCAGAGGGTATCGAAGCGTCGGTTAAAGAACAATGGGAAGGTTTTTGTACTTACGAAATAGCAATCTCAATGGAATTAAAAATGAAAATAGAAACGTTAAAAAGCATACATATGCAAGGTTTATGTTATTTATCCTGTACTGTCCAAAGGCATATCACACTTTCTCTTCGGGATCTTTGCTCCACGTATTTTTTTAAAGTTCATTTTAAACTAACACATAACAATTGCACTTGTTGGTGTGATATGACATTTGACACTCGCAATCAAAGCATTCATTGTGCCCTTTGTACCCAGCATTCTAAATGCACCAGCAGACTAAGACATTTAAACATCCACGCAAGACAGTACGGCCCGTGGGGATCACGGCAGCTCTAGGGAAAAACGGCGGGTTGCAGCTCCGCAAACAGCAACAATGTCACACACAGAGCTCTGCAGGAAGTTCTGTGAGAGAAGGATTTCTGGTGAAAAATATTCTGAAGACCTGGACTGTCACCATGCCGCCAGTGCAAGGGAGTAGCTGGCATAGGCTGACCTCGGCTTCGCTGTGAAGACTTGGGTTAGAAACAGACTCCAGATTGGGAGAACTACAGCTCTTCCTTCCTCTACTGTTAAATCCCAGAGGGCAAGAACACGGAGAGACAGAGACTGAGAAATCATGTTCAGATGTAATAGTTTTGGGCCCAGAGCAGTAGCCTAGCAGTTAAAGTCCTCCTTGCCTTCCACACACCGGCATCCCATATGGGTGCCAGTTCTAATTCTGGTGGCCCCGCTTGCCATCCAGCTCCCTGCTTTGGCCTGGGAAAGCGGCTGAGGACGGCCCAGAGCCATCCTCCTACGTGGGAGACCCAGAAGAGGCTTCTGGCTCCTGGCTTCGGATTGGCGCAGCTCTGGCTGTGATGGCCACTTGGAGAGTGAGTCAATGGATGAAAGATCTTCCTCTCTATCTCTCCTCCTCTCTGTATATCTGACTTTCCAATAAAAATTAAATCTTAAAAAAATGTGAGAGTTTCACTTGGACACCTGTGCTCTTTCTTTGCATAATTTTTTTAAAATCCTGTTAAAGAGGATATTTTTAAAAAATTGGTGTGGTACATGAAGAGCACAATAAATCCTCAAAACTTTGTAAAATAAAATAATCTTCCAAAATGAAAAGGCTGTATCAGTTCTGGTCAATGATTTCAAAATAGCCACCAGAGGGAGCTCCTGGCTAAGCAGACACGTAATTGCTTTCTAATTTTTTTTTAAAGATTTATTTATTTATTGGAAAGTCAGATACACAGAGAGGAGGAGAGACAGAGAGGAAGATCTTCCGTCCGATAATTCACTCCCCAAGTGAGTGCAACGGCCGATGCTATGCCGATCTGAAGCCAGGAGTCAGGAACTTCTTCCAGGTCTCCCACACGGGGGCAGGGTCCCAAGGCCTTGGGCCGTCCTTGACTGCTTTCCCAGGCCACTAGCAGGGAGCTGGATGGGAAGTGGGGCTGCTGGGATTTGAACCGGCATCCATATGGGATCCCGGCATGTTCAAGGCGAGGACGTTAGCCACTAGGCCACCGCGCCGGGCCCGGCAGATGCGTAATTGTTTTCTTAGGAAACTTGTCTGACTACTCAGATTTTTGGTTTATGCTCCAAATTGTTGACAGAGCATTAAAAAATCTTGTCAACTTCATCACTAAATAAAAGTAGGACAAATTCTAGACAAAACAAACCTACTCACATGGATAAGAAATAAAGTAAAAATTAGTTTCACTCGGACATTCATCTGGAGAAGGCTGAGATGCTCATGACACAGAGCTGGAAATAAGGCTGGCCCTGGGCTGACACAGCGGCTCAACAACTCACGGGGCGCCAGCTGGCTTCCCAACGGCTCCACTCAGTCCAACTTCCTGCTCGTGACCTGGGAAAGCAGGGGAGGATGGCTTAAGTTCTGGGGCTACCGCAGCTCTGTGGGAGACGGGAAGAAGCTCCCGCTTCGGCTCGGGATCAGCTCAGCTTCTCCGGTTGCAGCCATGTGGGCAGTGAGCCAGCAGATGGGAGATCCTTTCCCTCTTTGTCAGTCTGCCTTTAACAAAAAGGAGAAGTACAGACCCTAACATGGGCAGAAAGCATTAGATGCAAGAGGGGGAAAGGATACGTAAAAGTCCTTTCTCCAATCATCTTGAAGTAGACGCTGCAGTACGTTTTAGCATTTTCACAATCTTCTGGAAGCTTGTAGCCATACTGAAAGTTAAGCATATAATTTAACATCTTGCAGAAAGCTAAACTTGAATTAAATGTCAGGAAACACAACCAAGCAACTGCTAACATGTATTTCCATTCCTTACCAGTTCCTCCCAGTGCATTCGCAGTTCTTCATGCGAGTGGAAAGGACAGTCCGGGGGCACAGCATGAAGGATATTTATGATTTGTCCCATTTTCATACTATGAAAAGAGTTGGTAAAACATTAGAAGCCAATGTTTCAATATAGCTTGAAAAAATACTTGATTTAGAGTGTTCAAAGAGTCAGCAAATATCTCACATATTAATGGTTTCCTCTTCCAAATATATTATTAAATCTTGTTTTAATTCACAAATAAAAATTGCATGCATTTATCATGCACGCAACTAATTAAGAATATAGTCTCCTTGTTGACCAAGGCCTCCCTAGGCCATCCCTCCCCAGGCCATCCCTTTTTAAGGTTGAATAGTATTCCACTTTGTGTGTGTATACCATATTTTATCATCATGGATAGATAATTTAAATAGTCCTGTCCTGGCTATTGTGAATAATGCTATAATGAACATGGGAGTATATTTTCTGGCATACAGATGGAAATTCCTTGGATATACACCAGGAGAGGTATTGCTGAATAATATATTAATTCCACTTCAGATTTCTGAAGAAACCTCCCAATGTGATGCCAGCACATGTAGGTGGAGGATTAGCCAGTTGAGCTACTACACCCCACCAAGATTGTTTTCTATAATGGCTATCCTAATTTACATTCCCACCTACAGGGTGCAAGGGTCCTAACCCTTGTTACCTTACATCTCTTTGCTAACAGACATTCTAACAGATGTGAGTTGATATCTCACTGAAGCTTCAATTTCCATTTATTTGCCTGATGATTAGTGATGGAGAGAATTTCTAGTGTACTTACTGGCTGTTTACATGTCTTTGGTGAAAGTTTTGTTTTCCAGGTCTTTTTGCCCACTTTAAAATTGAGGTTGTTTTCTTGCTATTGTTTCAGTTCTTGATAAATTTTGGGTAACAGTACGCCTGCTACGGTTCAATATTTGATCCCTGCCAAATTCACGTTGAAATCTAACTGCTATCTGAACAGCATTAAGAGGTAGAACTTTTAAGAGCTTGGTCCACAAGGCACTACCCTCACAGTGAATTTAAACTGTTACCTCTGGAGTCTGTTCCTTGCCAGAGAGTTTGACTCCCTTCTGTTTCTTTCTCTCATCTTTCTTTACTCTCCCACCATGGGACGACATACCAGGAAAGTCTCCCCCAGACATGGAATCTTCTGGAATCGTCATTTCAGACTGCCAGGCTTCCATACGTGTGGGAAAATGTCACGGTCTCTGGCATTCTGCCACAGCAGCATGAAATGGACTGGGCAAATCCCTTATTGGGAAGCTGGATTGTTTGCAGATATTTTGTAACTTGCTAAGTTTTCTCTTCATTTTGTTGACTGGTTGGGCAACAGCTCTGTAGTTTCACGTAGCTCCATTTAGCCATCTTTGCATTTGCGGCCCATGCTTGTGGGAACATGTCCAAAACAAGCACACCACACCAACAACTCCTCCGTCAAGCCATGTCCTTTTCCATTACAATGTTAAGGAAGTAAAACCAAGGAAAAATATATCAAGCCCACTATAGATAATACAAATTCAAATCTCACCTTGGCAAAATGTAGCACCAGTTGCTTAAGATGGAATGACTTGCAATGACAGCATTCGTATTAGTAAGGAAGTCTTTTATAAGGCCCCGAGAAATATTAAATTCTTCAAGCTTTTTAACAGAAACAAGATTTTAATGTGTAAGTCCTCAAAAAATTTGGCAAGGAAGAATAAATGGTAAAAAAAGAATACGTATCCATTACATACACACACACAGTAGTTTCAAGGCAGTTTTAAATACTGTAAGTTACACTGAACTGGGCATAACAGCATCACGTAATCAGTATTTCAGTGCACCCTATTTCTTCTTTATACAGTAGAAGAAATATTTCATGTTGTCCTTATTCTTATAAAATTTTACTTTTACTGCAAAGTTAGATATAGAGAGAGGAGGAGAAACAGAGAGGAAGAACATCCATCTGATGATTCACTCCCCAAGTGACTGCAATGGCCAGAGCTGAGCCAATCCGAAGAAGCCAGGAGCCAGGAACCTCTTCCAGGTCCCCCACACGGGTGCAGGGTCCCAAAGCTTTGGGCTGTCCTTGACTGCTTTCTCGTCCACTAGGAAGCTGGATAGGAAGTGGGCTGCAGAGATTAGAACTGGTGCCCATATGGGATCCTGGCACGTTCAAGCGAGGACCCCAACCACTAGGCCACCACCCAGGCCCCTATTTCATATTTATTTCAACTGGTTTTCAGTTTTGACTATTTGTCCCAAGAAATGGAATCCCTTCTGAAGCAAGAGATTGACATTTTTTAAAGAGTAACTTTTGGGGGCCTGGTGCAATAGCTCAACTGAGTAATTCTCCACCTCCAAGGGCTGGGATCCCATATAGGCATCTGTTTGTGCCCTAGTTGTTCCATTTCATATCCAGCTCCCTGCCTGTGGCCTGGGGAAGCAGTGGAGGATGGCCCAAGTTCTTGGGACCCTGCACTCAGGCAGGAGGGAGATCAGCTCAGCTCCAGCCATTGCGGCCACTGGGGAGTACCCAGCAGATGGAATACCTTTCTGTCTCACCATTTCTTTGTAAATCTGCCTTTCCAATAAAAGTAAAGAGTAACTGATTAACTCAATTTGTTTATTTTTTTTTTCAAAAGTGAAGGATGAAAAGGATGGTCTTCAGAAGTGAGAGAACAGAGCTGATATCCCATTCTGCTATCCATTCCCTTCCTAACATTTCTTCCCTGTCCTCAGGTCCACTACAGGACGTTAAACTTGTAGGAAGCCGACAAGAGTTTCTCACTTAGGGCATCCTGGTAGGAATTGTGTTATAGTTAGTAGCTAGGACAGGGAGTTCTCTAATGAGATGGAAAAAAAAGGTGCTAGTATAAAAGGATCTTAAAGATTACAGAGAAGATTCACGATCCTTCACCTCCTTTCTGACGTCTCTCCACAGCATCTAATGTGAAACGACGTTCCCCCTTCACTGCCAGCTACCCTGAGCAGCTCTTTCTGCTCGGACAAGCCATCAGTGTCCAAAAGCGCACCTGCTTAAGGCCTATGCACACTGACTGGCCTGACTGCTCCTCTTACTGGTCTAGGCTGCTCTCTTCCAAGTCCGGTGACTGATACATTCTAGTAGCATTTCTTAAGGTTAATGGAAATGGGAGACTGAGAGAGGAAAAGGCACAAGACAAATTATGCTGGTTATGTTGTGCCCAGAGTGAATGAGGATACACTGTCCCGTGCGTGGTGGTGTACTAGACTGGAGAGCTCGGCTGCCTTCCCCCGTGAGGGAAAGGTGGCCAGGGATGGTCATGAATATCAGAAAAAACTAGAAGCCAGTGGATGACTGCACCAAGGGAGACAGAATCTAAAATACAATTCAAAGGAAGTAGGCGTCAGGTTCAAGTGTAGTTTATGGACCCCCACAAGAGCCTATGTGGTCTTAGGGCTCTGCCCGTTGGGGGATATTTTCTACCTACTCAGAGCCCCACGCTAACTGCAGCAGAGGCCTCCATGCTCCCAGACTGCTGTCTGTAGCTTCTTTCTCAATGTACTTTAGTTTACAGACTGGCAAGTTACCCAACCGTTTACCACAAACCCTTGAATTTATTTACTTAACAAATATTTATTAATTTCTTGATATGACCAAAATCATACCAATAAGCAGTTGCTTAATAAATGTTACTTCCTCCTTATAATGCTAATCCAAAGAATCTGGACTTAGTTTTCTATAGAAAACACTGAGACACTAGATATTGTTCAATTGTAAAATAAGGGCTGAAATGCATGTCTCATAATAAAATTATAAATTTCCTTAAAATTTGCTTATATAAGGTGAACAGCCAAGACTCAGAAAATTACTCCAATTTCTAGCACTGATTAAATAACATTTAGAAGTAACAGTCATGTAGTTCTAAACAGAAATTAATCTTTGCTCCATTCAGCCCTGTACCTACAACACACGACCTGGGTAAGTGCCGGGGCTCAGGTAGGCTTCTGTGATAGAAAAATTCATAATGCAGAGACAGTTACCTCTAAGAAAATTCACTTTAATGAGATACTAAAAAACATGTGATAAACGTGGCCAGAGGAGCAAAGCTGAGGCGGTCTTCCCAGGGCCTGACGTTCCAGAGAAGCCTGGGAAATGCCTGCCAGCTCAGGGGGCAGACTCAGCAAAGCATGGAAAGATGAACGAACTGTCATCCTTCAGAAAGAACTCATAACTTGGCCGCTCCGGGGAGGGTGATGGGAGATGAGGCCCATGAAAAAGCTCGGGTCCATTTGTTAAGACCTCATAGATCTTGCTAAGCAGCTGAGTCTTCATTTCATAGTCCACAGAGGCCATGGCAGGTCTCTAAGAATGAAGTCACAGAAAATGAACTGGAGGGAAGGGATTTCCCCATCTGACATTATAACTAATATCAGATTTTTATAAAAGCAAACTTAAATGTGGAAAATTCCCTATTAGCAAAATGAGATTTAGAATGAACAATCTATGGAATCAATAAACCAGCCATGCAGTGAGTATATGAGTGAGAGGGGAGGGATGTGCCTGTCCCCATTCCAGTGTTGTCTGCCACGTTGAGAAGCACAAGTTCCCGGAGCTGCTCTGCTGGGTCGTTCATTCCTCCTTCTCCAGGGTAGAAGGGATAACTCAGTCGATTGGTAAAACTGGGATGGAGAACAGCTCGCCTTTGGCTCCACTCTTCTTCCTCTTAAGAACTGGCCTACTGGCAGACTGGAGCCTGCGCGCTCTCTGTCTCTGCACCTGAATTCCCAAGAAAGGCGTGTGATTTCCTCTATGCCTTAAGCCACTAGGAGTAAACCTGCCTAACCCAGGGGTCCAGCCAGGCAGGGCACTTTATTTAACAGCTCTCATTTCCAACAATAAAAGAGTGTCGGGTCAGTACCCCGACAGGATAGTGTCTCTTTTTTTTTGTTTTACAGATTTAATTTGTTCTTATCGGAAAGCTTCATATATAGAGAGGAGGAGAGACAGACAGGAAGATCCTCCCATCCACTAGTTCACTTCCCAAGCGGCTGCAATGGCTGGAGATGAGCCAATCCAAAGCCAGGAGTCCGGAACCTGTTCCGGGTCTCCCACACAGGTGCAGGGTCCCAAGGCTTTGGGCCATCCTCCACTGCTTTCCCAGGCCACAAGCAGGGAGCTGGATGGGAAGCAGGGTTGCCAGAATTGGAACCAGCACTCATATGGGATCCTAGTGTGTGCAAGGTTAGGACTTTAGCTGCTAGGCTACTGTGCCAGGCCCAGGATAGTATCTCTGGTACTCTCAGTATGTCTCAAGTCTCATTTTGAACAATAAATTATACTAGTGTTCATTTTCTGCTTTGTCAGACTCTAAAATGCTTCAAACTGACATACAGAAGTATCACATAGAAATAAGATATAAGATGCAATATTTTCCCTCATCATGCCTACTCTGATGAAAGTTGGGTCACAAAAATAATTCTAAGGCAACAAACAAGGATATGAGTATGGTACAGAACAGCGCAAGGGTATAAATGAGAGCAAGGGATCATACAGGCTTTGCAGCTTGCTCTCTGGCCAAGAGAGACACACCATGTTACCCATGGAGTGAGTTAGTTGTGGGTCAACTTCCCTACAAGCGTATGTATCTATAAAGGCTAGAAAGTACTCGTTTTTGATTTGCCTATTGCCTCAACACAATGCCAAAAAAAAAAAAAATTGAAGAGAAACAAATGAATTGAGGACAAACATTTGACTGAGAATAGGAGCAGGACCTGTGCAGCTGATCGGGAAAGGCAAAAACGAATGAAGACTTATTTTTCCCACACTTGGGGTTTCTCAAGCCCAACATTACTGATCATTGGGGTGCGGTAAGTCTCGGGGTGGGGCCACGAATGCCGTGCAGGGCAGGGAAGTATATTTAGCAGCATCCTTGGCCTCTGCCTACTAGATGCCAGTGGCAACATTATTCTCTCCCCCACTGTAACAACCAAAATCGTTTCTGGACACTGCCAAATTTCTCATGCGGAACAAGCTGCCCACGTCGCCCTCCCCTGCCCCTGTGGGGAATCACTGGCCTAGAAAAAAGAAGTTACCAAATGATCACTAATGAGTTAAGACTTTGCTAAGTGTTACGGAAATCTGTAAAGCAAAAGATATCTACTAAGAAAAAGAAAAGTGTTATGAATGAAAAATAGATGCAAAAAACCCTATCATAATGAAAAAGGGAACGGAGTGAATATTACTTTTAGTATGAACTGAAACAGCATTTTTAATAGTTGAAGGGGAAGAATCCAGAAGTGAGTGCTGACACAGGATAAGCCTGAAAAGAGTTTTGGATCCTCCTGAAAAGATGGCTGACCAAGGAGATGGTAAGACATGATATGATAATAAGAATGAAGGAACAGTCAAGATGGTTAGAACAAGCACAGCCCAGCCCAAGCCCCAGTGCATCAGCCCCAGCTCTGCTCTTCACTTCACCTTCCTCCAACGCCCCCTGCGGGCAGCAGGTGGTGGCTCAAAGGATGGGGGACCTGGATTGGTTTTCCAATTGGGTTCTCAGCCTTTGGCTTCAGTCTGGTCCGGACTCAGCCACGCAGACATCGTGGAGGATGAACCACACAGTAGGAGCTCTTTGCTTCTCCCATCATCCTTCACTCTCTCTCCAACTTCTCAAGTAAAAGACACTTCTTTTAGACAAGAATATTTAGAACAATATAATTGGAAAACAGTAGAAAAAAATCCATGGATTTTAGATAATGAAATTTCCCTTTATGTGAAAAGTTAAGATATAATAGATGTTAATCATAATAAGCATATTAAATATAATTGCATATGGTAAATAACAAAAATTAAAACAAGTGGTACCTCAGGAGGTGGCAGTCTGATTGTGCAAGCTTCTACACTTAGACAAACTTGAGTTTCTGTTACATTGATGTCTAATACTGAAAACAAAATACTTAACTGTGAACTGTCTTGAATTATTGCTCCATCACATCAACTTAAGTATTTCAGTAAAGAAATTAACTTAATTCTCAAGTAAAAAACCAAGAACATAGTTCTCTACACATAGTAAAATTCAGATAGTTAGAATATTTGACATTCTGAACATAAAACATTAAAGACAGAAGTTTGGCACAACTTGGAGATGCATTGGGTAGAGGGGTACAAGGAAGGTTACAGTAAGAAAAATGAGAGACCCCCAAATTGAGAAAGCTCAACAAATGCCTGCTGAAGCCTGCAGAGGAGCTATGCCAGGCTTCTGATTGAGGCAATCTGTTAAAAGCAAGTAGCCTGAAACACTAGGGGCTTCAAAAGTTGTGGAAAAAGAGAATTAAAAGATAGCTCATTTTGGCCTGAAACTTTTCTTTGAAACCCAGCACGGTTTTTCATAATGTGCATTTTCTATGGACTTTGTTTGGACTCTTGGGTGTAAGAATAGATTCTTGAGCGCCTGGAGAGTTCTACCCTTCTTTTCTCAAGCAAAACTGCTGAAAGTGAGGATGGGGAGACGGTGGGAAGGGGGAGACCTAAAGAAAGCAGGGGAGGTTGTGCGGATACTGACCATGCTGCTTCTCTGAGAACTGGCTGCTAGTTACGGTTAGTCTGTAACAATTCAATGAGTTGCACCAACAATTGCACAGGATGAATTTTTCCCTCCTAAACTGTGTTGGTTATTCTCTGCATCTATAGCCTCATGACCATGTTCGGGGGCAAAGTCAAATTTAGGTAATGAAGCCCCTCACCCAGAACTGGATACACTGACTGCCACCGCACAGATGAAACATAAAGCAGCATGAGAGGCACGCAGCTTGTAGCAGGCACGTCTTCTCAGACCCAGCCATGTGGGCTACAGGCAAGGCGGTCACCGCCAGGCCCACTCGCTGCGGAAAGCTAGTGTGACTCATGGGCAGTGTCCTGTGGGGCATCCAGACTACTGTTTAGAAACCTGTCCTCCTGCAGCATCACCACGCAAGTCAGTGGAAGAACTGTATCTGACCACAGAGTAAACTCTATGTAGAGAGTATGTGTTCCTTTAGATGATCTTTCTGTGGGGGTGGGGAGGAGGAAAAGAATCAACTTCTTATAGGAAGTAGGTTTGTACCTACGTTAGTGCTAAGGTCCATTTTTATGATAGGATTCTGGAGATTATTATAATTGAAAGAATTAAACCCCCTGAGGTGAGCATTTGGAATAGCAGTCAGCCGGTACTAGAGGGCCTGGTTCATGTCCAGGTTTCCCTCCTGATCCAGCTTATGCTACGCTCCCCTAGGACAGCAACAGACGGTCATGCCCCCTGCGCTTGCATGGGGCTGGACTGAGTGCTGGGCTCTGGCCTTGGCCTGCCCCAGCCCTGACTGGTGTAGGCATTTGGTGAACCAACAGAATCATCTATCTATCTATCTATCTATCTATCTATCTATTATCTATCTATCTATCTATCTATCTATCTATCTATCTATCTATCTATCTATCCATCCACCCATCCATCCATCCAACTATCCATCCATCTATCCATCTATCCAACTATCCATCTAACTATTTCTATATCTCCGTCTCTGCCTTTTGAATAAAATGATAACATTAAGAAAGAATTAAGCTTCTCCAGTCTTAATTTTATGTACATAAAATAAAACACAGCCTTTTTCTAATTAAGATAAGGGACATTTTTTCATATAGGTAAATATGCATTCTGAGCTACAGGTGAGTTTCCAGGTATAATTCTGAATACAATAGCACTTGACTAAATTCTGATATAATCTATCATCAGGATCACAATTCAATGATTTATAACACTGCTTTTAAAGTGATTGCTAATTATATTATTTACCGAGTTACATATTTTACTTACCAATAGCACTTTGTTTTCCCATTTGAGAAAGAAAATCTCTTCCTTAAAAAATTCAGAGAATGTTGTTTTATTATGACTTATAATCATGATTGACAAATGTGATCATTTAGTATGAGATTATCAAAGCCAAAGTAAACATTTAAAATGCAATTGTTATATAAAGGAATATCTGATGATGAGGAAAAATGCAATTGTTTAAATTATCTCTTTAATTAAAAGGACAAAAATAACCAATTATTTCCTCAAATTTTTGTCTCTTAAATACTTAGAAAACAGATTTCAACAAAAATTCAGGATAGAATTTCAGTACCAACGTGAATAATTTATTTTTACTTAGTAGAGTGATTCATAGTTTAGCTTTCTTTGGAATATCCAGTAAAAACATTTTAAAGAAACATCTCAGGCCCGTGGAAATAATTCCAAGGAAGGAGATGATAATTACATTGTGACATTGCATGAGAATGCTTAGTTGGGCTGTTTTAAGAACAATTCCCTAAAAATAACACATCTTGAAATTTAAAAAGACATATAGAAGTAAGGTGGTTCAGAAAAAGAGAGTCACCTTGCACCAAGAGGTGGCCGGCTTTGTTCCAGGCTGGAGCGAGTCTGGCAGGCAATGAGAAGGAAAGGCACGCTTGAACAATGGCAGGAATCACTCTTTGTGGAGCCTCCATCTACAAACATTAAAGGGCAACAGACAGGCATACATGTGTGTAGGGAAACTGATCCATCACACTGAACCAGCAAGGTGGATCTTCTGGACAAAAGCTGTAACCGCTTCTATGGCAGGTTAAATAAGTGTTCAAAGATATTGACTCTAGAAGCAGTGCTTTCGCCATACCATCATGGCCCAGTTCTGCACCCTGGCCCAGCACATTGAGCCTTGAGAGTTCGTGTGCTAAGAATCTCCAACTTCCTACTCTTCTGCACAGAGGGGACAGGCCAGAATGGCCTTGCTGTATTTATCATGATTGTTAAGTGTGGTTCATCCACAGAAAATGAATACTTACACAGAATTTCATGCAGAATTAATTTTAAAAAGCAAGACTTCTATTTCTTTTTAAAAAAGATTTGAGGATTTACTTATCTTTATTTGAAAGTGAGACAGAGAAGGAGAGAAAGATCTTCCACCTGCTGGTTCATTCCCCAGATGGCCCAACAGCCAAAGCAGGAACCAGTCTGAACCAGAAGCCAGCAGGCACAGGGACCCAAGTATTTGGGCCATCCTCTGTTGCCTTTCTAGGTGACTGGCAAGGAGCTAGGTCAAACAGGAAGCAGCTAGGACTTGAATGGGCACCCACGTGGGATGTCAGGCTGCAGGCAGAAGCAGCACATGGTGCCGGGCCCTAGGACTTTTTGCTTTTGACTATGAATAATTGAAACTGGATTTATTCTCTCACTTTAAAGGTCTAAAATGCTAGGCAATTTCTATGAAACAATGGCTCATCAGATGTTGGATGTTGGGCGATGGAGTCCAAACACATGGGCAGCCAACAGGATGATCTGTCCAATGATTTCTCCAATTTACTGATGAGACAGGGCTTCCAGGCTGCAATACAGATGGAGACTCAGGAAGACCCTGGCCACCTCCCCAGTTAGGCAAACAGAGTCAGGGATTCAGGGACACCAAGAGTCCTAGAGTTCTGGAAGCAAAGCACTGCAGATGAGAGCACCACGGAGCCAGCAAACCTGCAATCAGAATACTCCTCTGAGTACAGATCAGTGCGTGAATAGCCCAAGACTGGAGAAAGAGCCAAGACTCTTGGCTTCACATTGCTGGAAACACAATAAAGAAAACTTCCTTTGCAAAAAAGACATGTGAAAAAGTGAGGAGGCCAAGGAAAACTGTCATTATTACCTAGTCCCTGTTTTTGTACCACTCTGGCTTCTGGTGGAAGTTGCCAGGGCACTCCTGAATAATACAGTAACAACGGAACACACCAAAGCGGCCCAATTGCCTCACGGAGAGTTCAGCTAAGGTTACTAACCACACGGTCCCTGACAGCACTGTGAAGGTAACCTGCAGGGAACACATCCCACAAGCCACCAGGGTCCACCTCAGAGTGCAGGTGCCTTTCTCTTTAGTTTCTGTATTACCTTGCTCCCTAGCCTGAGGAACTAACCCCGACAGAGCAGGATCTGCAAGGACAGACTGAGGCTGGCTTGCCAGAGGGAAGTCTGGGGCAATTCTCAAACGTGTAACCATCCAGACTGGTGACCAGATGCCTTCTAGGGTGAACATGCTGCCATCTGCCAGTTCAGCTAAAGGTGGAGACAGATTTTGTGCCACCTTTTCTAGCTGTGTAACCCCCACTGTAGGAAAAACTCTCTCTGGGTGTGTGTGAACTAACAACGAGCTCGGCCTCTAGCAAGGTCCCTCCCAGGAACCAGGAGTAGCCTCACTTTGGTGAAATCTACAATTATCTGTGGCCCACCAACAGAACTTCGAGAAATAGAAAAATTCACCATTAAAGATTGAGATTTCAACAATTAATAAAGTAGGCAGAAAATAAAAGAGAACATGATTAACTTAACACCATCAGCTGGATGAACATCTGCAGGACACCCGTCACTTTCTTCTCAGACGGACGAGGTCTGTTCCATCAGACGGACAATGACCTGGGCCGGGAACAAGTCTGAACGCATTTTTAAAAATCCAAATCATACCAAACATGTTCTCTAACAAGAAAGTGAGACATGATTATTGGAAAGTTCCCTAGAAAATCTCCTAGTATTTGGAAACTATGTATTTCTAAGCAACTCACAGATAAAATAGGAGTTATAAAGCATTTTCTGAAAAAAAAAAACAAAACCAAAACACTTGCTGAGGAGGAAAGGGCTAGCCCTAAATATTCCAGTATTAGAAAAGAAGTTCCCAATTACTGACCCTACAATTCACCATAAGAAGCTAGAAAAGGAAAAGAAAATAAATCCCAAGGTAAGAGGAAGAAACAAAATGTAAGAAACAAAACAAAAGTCAGAAAAAATGCAAAATTAGAGAAGAGCAGAAAGGCTTGATTAGTCAGAAGCTTGTTCCTTGGGAAGATCTGTAGGATCAACAAGCTCCAGCTCTCCTGTGGAAGGAAAAAAATAAGTGACAGCATGATAAAATCAGGGACAGAACAATCACCTCGTTTCTGCAGCCAAGGAAGACAAGGGAATAGTAAAGTAACTTTATGCCAGAAGTTTGACAACTTTTTTTTAAAGATTGATTTATTTTTATTAGAAAGGCAGATATACAGAGAGGAGAGACGGAGAGGAAGATCTTCCATCCAATGATTCACTCCCCAAGCAGCCACAACAGCTGGAGCTGAGACGATCCAAAGCCAGGAGCCCAGAGACTCTTCCAGGTCTCCCACACGGGTACAGGGTCCCAAGGCTTTGGGCCGTCCTCGACTGCTTTCCCAGGCCACAAGCAGGGAGTTGGATGGGAAGCGGGGCTGCAGGGATTAGAACCAGCACTCATATGGGATCCCAGTACGTGCAAGGTGAGGCCTTCAGCTGCTACGTTATCGTGCTGGGCCCAAGAAGTTTGACATCTTTAGTGATACCATGTATTACTTGAAATAGGGAACTTGAACTGCTCTACTTCCATTAAAGAAACCAGGGCCAGTGTGATGGCATAGCAAGCTAGTCCTCAGTTGGCAAGCACTGGCATTGCATATGGGTAGGTTTCTGTCCCTGTTCTAGTGACTCCACTTCCGATTCAGCTGTCTGCTTACAGTATTGCAAAAGCAGAGGAGGACAGTCCAAAGCCTTGGGACCCTGCACCTTTGTGGGAGACCCGGAAGAAGCTCCTGGCTTCAGATCAGTTCAGTTTTCTGGCTGTTGCGGCCATTTAGAGAGTGAATCAGCAGATAAGAAACGTTTCTCTGTCTCTCCTTCGCTCTGTAAATCTGTCTTTCCAACAGAAATAAATAAAGCTTAAAAAAAGAAAAACTGTAGCTAAAAATTTTTTACAAGATCAAGATAGCTTAGTTTGTGAATTTCAAAAACATTTATTGGAGAAATATCAAAATTCCATACAAGCTCTTCAAAACATCTGAAAAAGAGAAAATTTATTTCTTCCTCCCTGTAGAATTTCTGAAGGCAAAAACTTTACATAGCTCACAACTTCGTCTCCAGGAGCAAGTACTGCTAAGAATATTCTGGGCTTTGGATAAGTAGCCACTAGCCATGACCACTACCTTGTGAAAAGTGCCCATAGAAAAAGAAGCATAACCTTGAAGGCAAGGAAGGCTGGAGGAAAGGTCATGATTAACAAGGAATTCTGAATCTCAAAGTCTGATGAAGGGAACAAAATAAGTTGTTTTTTAAAATACAAATGAAGAATTAAGATAAGTAGAGAAAGGTCAGATTGTAAGTAGAAAGATTACAAATATTTTAGAGATGTGTCATCCTGAACTTACGAAATCAAGTGTGTGAATTAAAAATTGGAAGGAAGCAGAGCACAAGTGACTATTCCTCATTAATGTAGAAGAATTATGAGCAAAATTTTTCCTAATTTTAACTTTTTCTTATAGTTACTAATAAAATGAAGATGCTTAGCATAAACGTTCTTTTCATTAAACACTGAAATACTGCCTATGAAACTTAGGAAACAAATGTTTCATTTTCAGAGTTCAAATTAATTTCATTATATTCATTATTGTTACGATATTTGAAAATATTCACTTATTTGAGAGACAGAGAATAAAAGGGAGGGAGAAGGAAGAAGTAGCGGGCGAGCAGAAAGGGAGAACTATTCAGTGGTTCACTGCCCAGGTTCCTGCACTGGCGTGCTCAGAGCTGGGCGCTGGATGCACTCTTGAACACAAGCAACATCTGGGATTATTATCCTTGTAAAAACTCACCTTAACTCCATATTTTTCAGTATAGGCATTAAGTTTTCCAGTTTTATAAAATGATATCTGCAACAAAATGAACATTTATAAAAGGACTTAACATGCATACACAAAGGAAGTAAGCCATGCATTAAGATTTTAGGCATTTTACTTCCGAGTGTGCCAGCTGGGTACCATCCTGGCAGTGCCTATGCCAGAGAGAAGTAATCACACTGTCTCCTCAGCCTAGGAGCCTTGGGCACCTTCTCAAGCAGGAGAACCTTTCTGGGATAATGCGACTCCAGAAGAAATATAAAGAAAAAGCCAATAAATTTCACATACAAGCATTTAATATCCTTCCTAACATGTAATAAACTTAGATGTGAATAAGGAAAGTGAAGATAAATGGAAGATCAAGTCTGATACATGAAATACAAGTGAAAGGAAGATATAATTTTTAACCTAACAGATCAGCAAATATTAAAAATCTGCTAATTTTCACTATTCATGAGTGGGAAAACAGGATCTCTCAGACACTATTTGCCAAAACATAATTCAGTGCAAATTTTTCCAAGAGCAATTTAGTAGTATTTACTTTCAGGTTAAAATATGTGGCAAGGGTTGGTGCTGTGTAACAGCAGGTGAAGCCACTGCTGGAATATTCTCCACCCATATAGGAGGATGGCGTCAAATCTTGGTTCTGTTCCCATCGGCTTCCTGATAATATGTATCTGGTGACAGTAGATAACGGCTCAAGGACTTGGCTCCCCGCCACCTGTGTGCAATTCTTGGCTTCTGGCTTCAGCCTGGGCCAATCCTAGCTACTGTGGGCATTTGGGGAGTGAACCAGGGGATGGAAAACTTCTCTCTCACTGTTATTCTGCCTTTCAAAAAATGTGTTGCCGTCCCACCTTTAAAAACGTAACCCCCAGAAACCACCAAATAAAAAGGATGTAATTTCAATGATGTTTTCTTTCAGCAGTTTGTAGCAGCACAAAATCAGAAATTCAGATGTGCATTAGAAAGCATTAAATAAATTACTAAATCATTCACGGCCTGAAGACTGTTACTTAGAAAGACATCCAGGCAAGACTATTCATGGAGGAAACAAAAGACAGGCTTCCAAATAGCATGGATAGCAATCCATGTTGCACATACAAAAAATAGGCAACTACTTTCTTTTTACTCTTTCAAATACTAGGATATCTGAACTAGAATTCTAAAACAGAATCTTTGTTTTTCCATGAAAAATTTCAATAGAAAAAGACATAAATAAGAGAGATATTAGTCTAACTGCTTATCAACAGCTTTTCTCTTTGCTGTAAAGATTTATTTATGTGAAAGGCAGAAATATACAGAGAGAGGGAGAAGAAAAGAGAGAGAGAGAGAGACAGAGAGAGAGGAGAGAGATGTCTTCCATCTGATGGTTCACCAAATGGCTACAAGAGCAGGGCTGGATCAGGCCAAATCCAGGAGCCAGGAGCTTCTTGCAGGTCTCCTACATGGTGCAAGCACCCAAGCACTTGGACCACCTTTTGCTGCTTTCCCAGGTGCATCAACAGGAACCTGGATTGGATGTAGAGCCACTGGGACTCCCAACTGGTGCCAATATGGGGTAAGTGTCCAGCAGCTAGCGGCTTAACCAACACACTACAACTTCAGCACCAGCTTTTGTTGTTCTTAAAAAACAATGTTAAGAACAACAAAAGAAGGGACAGAGAATCAAGATTCAGGAGAAAAAGAGACTGAAGATTTTGTATGACTTGTCAGCATTGTTAATAAATGTTCATTTCTCTCAACCCTGTGTCAATTTTATATTGACATAAAAACTGGATTTTCAGGAATATCTTTGACAAAAGTACCAGGATAATACAATTTTGATGCAGATTTTGCAAACTTCATCACCACTTCCAGTTATGCACAGCTTAGTAAATATGTTTCTAGCTCTGATCTCACTGCGGATTAAAGCAATTTTTATATGAAATTTGCAAATTAGGCATTAATAAGTTATTTAAAAACAGCTGGGAATCTATCAAAATGTAAAACTTCTGTCCTTATATTAAGCATAACTCTACAGAATTAAGTCTGTGTTACCTAAAGCTATACAATAACTTATTTATTAATAGTCTATCATACCATTTATAAGAAAATGAAATACTAAAGTGTAACCACCGAAAAGGATTTTACACACCATGCATCTTATCATCCGTTGGTGCTTCAAAGAACAATGTGATTCATCTTCACAAACCACCTCCAGCTTTATCCTTTACCTGGTTATGTGCATGAACATCGCTCCCATCACTTGGTAATAATATTTCTTCAGAAAATAATAATATTTCTTCAAATGTTTCAATACTTACTGCCATTACCACCCAAATTTGGTCTAACAGTTCTGGCACAGGCGACGTAAGAATCTCTTGATGCAAAAGCAGCAAGTGCCTATGAAGCGAAAACACATTAATTTTGAAGAGATTGTATTTGTTTCACTTTTTGAGACACTCAGAAAATTTACAAAAACTATAAATTTTTTTCTAAACAAGGATCTCCCCCCGTGCTGATATGGTACCATGGTACCTTGAACATTGTGGGAACCTGGCCAGCATTCAAACTGTGAAAATCACAAAACCTCACATACTGTTGCTACATGAGGCCTGTCCCAACATCTGATTTCTCCATCTCTTTTGTTTGGGAAAATTCCTCCTCTAACACTCAATCTCTTTCCTAAATGTAGACTTGGCAACGTATAAATCCAACCCTATCACTTTGAACTCACTTCTGCCTTGCTTATTTGTATTGGAAATGCCAATTTACACAGAGACAGAGAGACAGAGAGAAAGATCTTTCATCCTCTGGTTCTCTCCAAATGGCAACAACAGCAGGAGCTGAGCTGATCCGAAGCCAGGAACCAGGAGCTTCTTCTCGGTCTCCCATATGGGTGTAGGGTTCCACGGCACTGGACCACCCTCCACTGCTTTCCCAGGTCATAAACAGGGAGCTGGATGGGAAGTGGAGCAGCTGGGACATAAACTAGCTCCCATGAGATGCCAACGCTTGAAGCTGGAGAACCAGCCAGTAGAGCCAACATGCCGGCCTCCAGCGTTATTCTTTGTCCTTTCCCCTTCCAGTGGCAGCTAAGGGTCCCTGAGGGCTAGGAACCCAACGATTCCACTATCAGTGAAGTCATCAATTCACAACCACTGACTAGCATCTTTTTCTTCAAAGAAGAAGATCTTGGGGTGTTAATTCAGGGCCCAGCTGCTTCACTTCTGGCCTGGCTCCCTGACACAGTCATGGAGAGCAGCCTAGGATGGCCCCTTCAGATTTTCTACCTACTTCATTGTCTCTAAGGGGGTAACAGACAAGTAAGCGCACAGTAGGTATCATCAGGTTATACCCCTATAGGAAGGATACAAGCTTCCTGCTGCAAATACGCAATGCAGAGGGAAATGGAAGACACCCAACGGTGCCTTCCTGATTCTTGCCCCTAGTGATTTTATATTTGCTTATTAATGATATAATTATACCATGTATTCTACAAGCCCTCCTTCGACTGCCTCAGGCAATTGAAGAAACTGGTGTGCTGTGGGTCCTCTGTACTCATAGAATTATACTTTAGGTTTCAAACAAGACGCCTTTCTTTTCGGAAACATTTTATTTTATTTTATTTGAAAGGTTACAGAGGAGAAGAAAGGGAGAAGTCTCCCCAAATGGTCACAAGAACAAGAGCTGCGTCAGGCTGAAACCAGGAGCCAGGAGCTTCAGCCAGATCTGCTACACGGGTGCAGGGGCCCAAGTACCCAGGCCATCGTCTGCTGCTTTATCAGGCACACCAGCAGAAACCCACATCAGATGTAAAGCAGGATTTGAACTGGCACCCACGTGGAATGCCAGCATTGCACGTGCCAGTCCCCAAGATGTTTTTTCAAACTTATCTTCAGTCAAATTACTTTGAGATTGTTTTTGGAGAATCAACCTTCAGTGTCTTACACTAGGGTGAAAATTAAGAATCAATACTAATTAAAAATGTGTACAGTATATCAAAGTATCTTAAGCAGTATTCATCAATATTAATTAATAGGATGGGCATTTGGGCCTAATGGTTAGGATGCCAGTTAAGATGTCCATGTTGTAGCAAGGTGAGTGAAGCCACAGTTTGCAATGCTGGCATTCCACGTGGGTGCCAGTTCGAGTCCTGGTTATTACTGCTCCACTTCCAATCCAGCTCCCTGCCTAATATGCTTAGGAGAACAGTGGAAGGTATCTGTCAGGTATTTGGTACCCTGTCACCCACATGAGAGATCCACATGGAATTTTAGGTTCCTGGCTTTGGCCTGACAGAGCCTAGGTTGTTCTGGCCACCAATAAACAAAATGTATCTTTCTCTGCAATTCTCTGTCCAAAACTCTGCCTTTCAAATAAATATGTCTAAAAGGAAAAGAAAAGAAAAATGAGCTGCACATCTCACATGAAAGTGCCTGCATTCAATTCCTGGCTCTGGCCGCCAACTCCAGCTTCCTGCCAAGGCAGGCCGTGGTTGGCAGCAGCGCAGCTCTGGGAAGTAAGTGGTTGAACACTTTGCTTTGAAGTTTGCTCTAACGGAGATATTCCTGGATCAACCTGTGTGCATTGTAAGAGGTTTGTAAAGCTGGAGTTTTTACCTGCACATTTTCCTCTGGGCACTCCTTATCTCAGTATCGGCGAGGCCATGACTCAGTAGCAGTCGGACAGCACAGAGTTTGTGTAAGTCTGGAAGTGTCATGAAGAACAGTAACTGCTGCTTGGGTTCATTCATATTTTCCTACCAGCTGAACGTCTCAGCAATCGGGCCTTGCAAACAAAACACCAATAAAGATGCAATAAACTACCTTACCCCTAGGGCTTACACACCAATTCAGCATGTAATATTTGATACTGTTAGAATTTAAAAAAAAAAAACTTTATTACCATATTTCAGCAAATATCACTGGTAACTTTGTTTTCTATGACTTTTGTGCAAGTTTTAAGATGATTTTCACATAACATAATTCATGCAAGTATACAAGCTGAGGTTTTTACTACAGTCGCAGAATTATGCAATCAATACAATAAATTTTAAAATATTTTTATCATACCAAAAGGTACTGTTTTAAACTTGCATTTCTGGAACGCAAAAACAAGATACTTTTATGAAAATACAAAGCACCATTTATCACATACTCTGCTCGAGGTATCACATGCTTCTTCTATACTACATATATGCAAACAATTCCTTCTGTAATTCCTGATGATGCTTAGGTCTTATTCTGTTTTCAGGAAAATATTCTGCTTTCTATGACAATAAAATTTTCAAAATATAAGTTACATCAATATCTTCTTTTGTGAGATTATCTCTACCAAGCTCTATTAAGACTGGGAATGTTACTCTCCATACACGAAATAAAACGTTTATTGATATGTCTAAGCTCCTATCCAGTTTTTTCTCTTGTTAGGTTATCTAATGCTAAAACTTCTATTTGGGGTACATTTTGCATGCTAACTTATATGACGTGCATTTAAGGTCTTTATGATTTATTAAAGAAGTCTAAAATATACAAATTGATCAGCCTATTGATCAAATAAGCTAACATGCATAAATACATTCAAGGAAGATAACTTGGACCCTGGCACTTCACACGTTTTAGCATCAACATACTTTCTCTCTCTAAAACACACTAATGACACAGCGGGAGTCGGGCACCTCAACCAGGAGGAACCTTCATTCTGTCACTGAGTGTCCTCGCCACCAGAGGAACAGCGGCCTTCGTGCTCCAACCCCTCTCCCTCACACAGCAACCACCTGCTGCAAATCTGCTCCATCATGGACCATTCAGTCCTTTTCAAATGGGAACTTCTCAGAATGATTCGCACAAATTCACTCAGGTGTTGATTAATCAATTTGACTTCCAGTATCATTAAAAATAAGAACATTTATTTCTTCTATTTTTCTGGGTTTTTTTAAAATATAAAAACCTATTGGGAAACTACGAACTCTGAAGACAAACGTAGCCTACTTTCTAATTTCAATTCAATTCATCTTAAGTATTTTAATAAAGCTATCAATAATGACAAAGATGAAATAGAACTTGACTTAGGACAATTGATTTTAAAGAAAACAGGTAAATGATGTTGATAAAAGTCAGTAAATTGTTATTTCAATTTTAAAATATATTGTTTACTAAAATTCATTTTTATTTTCTTTAAACATCTTACGATCGGGAGGCTTAAATTTCAAGTCACCCAGAAATTCCTGTGAGCTGTCCTCTCGGTCAATCTTCAGAAACCCATCCAAACTGGAACACGAACAACATTGATCTGTTCAGGAAGAGGCCACCATTTGCCATTAGAATTAAGTTTTTAAAATCATAATTGTTAAAACTTACAGATTCAAAATGTTTGGTTTTTGGTTAGATTTTGTAAGACCTATACTGTAAAGTGTGAAACCTGGGCCAAACCTTGCAGCTCTGTACGGATGGGCTAGTAGCATGTTGGGCAGAAACTAGCGCCCTACTCTAAAGATTTATTTATTGGAAAGTCAGATATACAGAGAGGAGGAGAGACAGAAAGGAAGATCGTCCGTGAGCGCAACGGCCAATGCTATGCCAATCCAAAGCCAGGAGCCAGGAACTTCTTCCAGGTCTCCGGATCCCAAAGCCTTGGGCCGTCCTCAACTGCCTTCCCAGGCCACAAGCAGGGAGCTGGATGGGAAGTGGAGCGCGGGGGTTAGAACCGGCGCCCATGTGGGATCCCGGGGCGTTCAAGGCGAGGACTTGAGCCGCTAGGCCACGACACCGGGCCCTAGCGCCCTGTTCTAGAGTTCAGTAGCTTCGCCTTGCTCCCAAGGAGCTACGGGTGGAGTCAGAATTCTACACTGGAAGCCTTACAGAACCTGAGGAGAACCAGCACTCCCACAGAACGCCTGGGCATCAGACCCTCGGCGGGGCTCCTCCAGCCTGGACCCCGCCCCCCCCAGGGCAGCGGGAGGCCACAGGACGGAGGGGGGCTCTCACTGCAGCCTGGATGCCCCCCGAGGGCAGCAGGGGGGCTGCAGGGCCAGGGGAAGGGGGGCTCTCACTGCAGCCTGGACCGCTGGGAACTGCCCCAGACCCTCGGAGGGCACCTTCCCATACGGGTTCCACACTCCTGGCGGCAGTAATGGAACGGTCCCTATTGAGTGTCAACACATCCTCCTAAGGACCTGTGACGAGATACAAGGTCCCCGAAACTGGACCTCACGGGCCTTCCCCACCCCCCGGGTGAGCGGCCCCACGGCCTGGGCGCGGCGGTCCCTCCCCAGCGGCGGCTTTACCTCTCTCCCGCCCTTGCCCGCTCCGACTGCTGCCCAACACTGGGAGCGAAAAATCACAGGGACAGCGCTAAACACCGCTGCCTCCTGAGGTAACTGAGGAAAGCTGTGGGAAGTGGGTGGGCAGCGCTGCTGCTCCTCGTCCCACCTCCTGCTCTTGAAGGCCGCTTCCGGCTTCCCCGGCGCTCGGGGGAATCTTCCTCAGGCGGGCCTCTGGAACGCCTTCCGCTCCCAGGCTGCCCCGAGCTCCCGGCGGACCCCGGCTCCCCACAGACCCCCGGCTCCCCACAGACCCGGGCCCCCCACAGACCCCGGCTCCCCACAGACCCGGGCCCCCCACAGACCCCCGGCTCCCCACAGACCCCGGCTCCCCACAGACCCCCGGCTCCCCACAGACCCGGGCCCCCCACAGACCCCGGCTCCCCACAGACCCCGGCTCCCCACAGACCGGGCCCCCACAGACCCGGCTCCCCACAGACCCCGGCTCCCACAGACCGGGCCCCCCACAGACCCCGGCTCCCCACAGACCCGGGCCCCCCACAGACCCGGGCTCCCCACAGACCCCGGCTCCCCACAGACCCCGGCTCCCCACAGATCCCCGAGTTCCCGACGGACCCCGGCTCCCCACAGACCCCGGCTCCCCACAGACCCGGGCCCCCCACAGACCCCGGCTCCCCACAGACCCCGGCTCCCCACAGACCCGGGCCCCCCACAGACCCGGGCCCCCCACAGACCCGGGACCCCCACAGACCCCGGCTCCCCACAGACCCGGGCTCCCCACAGACCCGGGCCTCCCACAGACCCCGGCTCCCCACAGACCCCGGCTCCCCACAGACCCGGCTCCCGGGCTGCCCGAGCTCCCCACAGGCCCCTGGCTGCCAGCTTGCTGAGTTCCTGGCTGGTCAGTGGCTCCCACTATGGCCCTCGTGGCTGATTTTCCTCGCAGCGCGCCTTATGATCTCCCTGCCAAACTAAAGGGGGCTGGCTCTCCAGCACCCGGCTGTCTGGACACTGGCCAGGCCAGGTGCCTGTCTCCATCTGTCACCAGTTAATGCCATCTGGATGCACGTGTTTCCCTGGGGGCTGGAGACAGGGCGCATCAAGCAAGGCCCTGCCCTCGCGGAACTTCGATTCTACCTGGCGGTTTAAAAGTTGATGCCAAGATGGAATTATGTGTTCAATCCAAAGGCAGAGCCACGCCTCTGGCCCAAGTGGTGTGTTTTCAAGGGCGCCCAAGAAGGGTGCTCTTATCACACAGCTTTGTCTAGCTCACCAGCATGCAGAAATTTCCCTCACCAAGTTTATCTTTGACATTCTTCATTAAGGCTTTGATGAGATATAGTACTTTCAGAAATACCAAGGGTACATAAGGAAACAGAATAAGATCTTGATGCGATTGTCTTCCAAACATGAATACTCACATTCCTTCACACTCAGAAGTCCCTTATTCCACTAGAGAATCTCCTGCATGTGCGCACCAAGAATTATGTTTGTCAAATAGAATATACAACTGCAATAAATGAATCTTCCAAATGTTCCATGATAGAACACAGAAAGAAATTGAATTGTATTTATATGATTGGCTATTGCAAAGCACAGTAGTAACCTGCAGCTTTTGCCACAATATAGATGCATTTTTTAAAAAGATTTCCTTATTTTTATTGGAAAGGCAGATTTACATAAAGAGAGAGAGAGAAAGATGTTCCATCTGTTGTTGCTCACTCCCCAAGGAGCTGCAACGGCCAGAGCTGAGCTGATTGGACACCAGGAGCCAGGAGCTTCTTCCAGGTCTCCCCCACAGGTGCAGAGTCCCAAGGCTTTGGGCAGCCCTCAACTGCTTTCCCAGGCCACAAGCAGGGAGTTGGACGGGAAGTGGAGCAGCTGGGACTTGAGCCAGTCCCATTTGGAATACTGGTGGATGCAAGGTGAGGATTTAGCCACTAAGTTATTCCACTGAGCCCTCAAATATGAATCTTTTAAAGTTGAAAAATGGACAAATATTAAGTCAGTCATCTGACAGTTTTTCAGTAATTATGACTCTTAGGCACCAACCACCCAGATCTAGAAGCAGCCATTGCCTTCCCCCGGAAGTCCCTCATGTCCTCTTCCTCAAAGACAACACCATCAGGACTTCTGACGAGAGTGACATTTGCTTTTATTTGTTTAGAAGATGTGCACGGATAAATCCCTATAACATGGAACCACAATGCACCCTGACCCTAAATTTGAGGCGTTTTATATCAAAGGTGGTAGTTTCAGATATCATTTAATGAAGTGTAAGCTCTGCCAGGCTCTGAGTCATTATATTGAATGCATAATTCTTTCTTGCTATCCTTCAGGGAACGTAATTTAGATGTGGCCATGCGCTAAGGGCTGTGGACCCTCATTGTGCTGTGCTGTAGAGAGTGATGACAGGAACCCCTGGAGGAAACAAGGGAAAGGACTGACAACCAGAGCTTGGCCTCCGACTG